GACCGGATTTGAAAAAAATATCCAAACAAAATGGATGATTACATGATCAAACCGAAGAGATTGGATCGAATAATTTTTGCTTCCAAAACCAATCCAATCCAGACAGTGAACACCCCTAATTTTAGGGTAGAAATCATGGTTTTTTTTTGTAATTTTAATTTGTTTCACGATTATTATAGTCTTTATAATTATAATTTTTTAATATTTTAATCACAAAATGATATCATTTTGAAAGTAAATGTAGATAACTTATCTGCAGTAATTGCAGAAATGTTTTTCTGTTTATTTAAACCTTAATCAATATCGGGTGTGTTAAAATACGTTGAATATAATAAACTAATCTAAAAAGCTTGAAAAAAAATTATGTGATTTGAATCAATAATATTTAGAGTTCTAATATAATTGTACATGATTTTGATAGGCGTCGCTAAACTCGAAATCAAATTTATAATTTTTATTAAAATAATATAGAATATTTCCTGCAATGTGATTTTTTTTAATATAAATTAATATTTGTGTCGTAAAAAAATTTAACATGGTATTTATTCAAAATTTACAATGTTGTAAAAAATAATGAAGTATAAGAACAAATCTTTTAAATGGAAAAACTATAAAGAAATTTTTTTGAAAAAATAAATAATTTAAGCTAACAAAGCGACGTGCTTGACACGTATACAGACAGTAACTGAACTAATAAATTAATAATCCTCAACAACACCTCCTTGACAATCCAACTTTGTATAATGAATGCATCGATGTTCTTCAATTCCGCAGCGTTGACATATTGGCCTTGAGCGATGCCTGCTTGCAAGCTGCTCCATTCTTTATTTGTCTTTATTCGACAAATATAATTTAGGCTATTCATAACTCGAACAAAAAAGAATGGATTGATATTTCCAAAAAAAAAAGGAAAGAAAAAAAAGAATGGATTGAGGTCTCTCAATTTTGCTGCGTCGACAATACATTGCTTTGAGAAGACAATTTTGACTACTTCCTTTGCCGCCACACTTTTACTTCAAAAAAATTCTCAAGTTGATGGGCATATTAATTCTCAACACTATCGGTTAATAAATACAGAAATGGAGATAAGGTTCCATCAATACGGGCGCAGATTTTTCTTGGGAGGCATGATTTGTTTTTTAAATTTTGTTAAGGTGTATCTTTCAAATATATATTACTAGTAAATTACCCGTGCGATGCTCGGAGAAAAAATAAAATAAAATTGTTGCCGCCGTTGTTGGTTAATCATCGCACCGGTAAGTCTAACACTTTCATCTTGCTATCAAGCTCTGAATGGTATTATGGTAAAGGTATAAACATAAAGGAACAAAAAATAAAAAAACAAACCTATTACTTGAGAGCCGAGAAAGGTGTTATGAGAGAAAAATAAAGATGCCATTTTGAAATTTGATATTTATAAGAATAATTGAAAGATAGGAGGAACTGAAAAGTTTTGTTTAGGTAGAATAATTTTCAATATCATTAATAGACTTTTCATTTTCCAATAATTTTCAATTAAGAACCTTACAATTCCAATGTAGAAATGATAGTGAGGCATTAATTATATGTCTCCCACTAATTCCTTAATTTCGAATTTTGATTTTTTTATTATTATTTTTTAATATTAATTTTCGATTAAAAAAATTCCAAAAGAAGAAGGTTTTCAAATTTTCTCAAGTGTGAACACATTGGTGAAATTGAAGGAGGGAGTGACACACCGTCAAACTTTCCAATGATGTTTATTCCCTTAATATATATAATGATAATAAAAAATATTTTTAAATAAAAAATATTTAATATCTTAAATTCTTGATAACTCAACAGGGGGATTTTATGTTATATCTTAAGTGATAAAATATATAACTATGATTAATTAAATTACATAAATTTTTTGGTAAGTTTCAATTACATAATTAATTATATTTATTTTGAATATTTAATTTAATTAATTAAATAATTAATAAATTCATAGTTAATAAAGTGAGAATATGTAATTAATTTCGTTCATGATATGAGTCATCCTAAAAATATTTAATATTGTTCTATTAAAGTATTATGAAATATTTAATAAAAATAACAAATGCTACTTTTAATTCCTTAATTTATATTTTAAGTACATGTTTGCTTCATTTTATTTTGAAAACATAATTATTTTTTAAAAATTCTCTCTAAAAGTTTTAACAAATTAATTTTTTTAAACAAGCTAATTGAAGCATGCACTATATTGCACATTAACAAAGAAAACTTTTCAAACAAGTAATAGGGACTTTTTTTTACTTGAAATCCGTTCCAATTACATGAAAAAAATGCTCAATTTTAACTAATATGGTAGTATGTGTAAATATATATTTAGATTAATTTATATTTTTGTAAACTAATTTATAATTTTTTTATCACAAGTAATTTTGAAAAAAGAAAAATAACTTTGTCCTAAAAGGCTAGATACAATATGCATTAATTTGCTTCCTAGAAAAGAAAATACAGATACCTTTTCTTCAAATAATCGTTAATTAATTGTAGCACGTCATTTATTAGATGATGTGTCGCATATTCTCAAATAATACCCTATATCGCAACGACTATTATGTGATTGTGTAAGTGAAATACTTTGGAAAATTCCTTAAATCTATTAAACAAGTTTAGTATATTTCAATAAATTTTTTGTTTATAAATTCTTACAAATTATATTATATATTTTTTAAAATACATTAGATTATATTATATATTTTTGAAAATACATAATATATTTTATAAAATTTAAAAAAAAAATTATAAATGAATTCTTCCTGATTTCATGATTATCTCAAATATGTTAATTTTACACTCCATGTACAGAAAACTGGTCCAATTACTAGCAATCACTAGTGACTCCGGTACTCTCTCGTTACAGGAAAAAGAAGGTCATCATTAATGCTGAGCATGATTGCACAGGGGTAAGTGAAATTACTATACCACAATTTTTAACATCTAAATCAAGCGTACGTGTAAAGCTTGAAAAACCAAATTATTGATGGTATTAGGGGATCAAATCTTGTCCTCCATCACATCACAATGTCCGGCTCATATTTCTTACTGGACTTCTTTCCTCTTAAGGTGGTGTTTGGCTGGCCTCTTTTCAAAATTTACCTAGGCACTATAGTATGATCCTTGTTTCTTTTTTGCTTTAGTGATATTGCAACATAAGAGCCTATTTATCAACAATAAATTTTTACGGGGAAAATTATTATTTTAATTATTAGAGATAAAATTATCTCCAATAAATTTAAAATAATGTTATTTTGAAATTGTAAAATTATAATAATAAATATTAATATAACTCTGTAATATATTAAAATTATAAAAATATCTTAATTTTTATCCTAAAATAATATTATTTTGAGCTCATTAAAAATAATTTATTTCTAATGACCGAATAAATCCTTTATCCATTCTTAAATTGCTGTTCTTAGCTTGTTATTTTAAATATTCTTATCACTTGTCTATTCATCAGAATATCATTTTAATCCATGTGCTAATTTTTTTTTTATATCTTCCTTTAAGAAAGTACTTTTTTTTTTATAAGCTTTTAAGAAAGTACTTTACAACTGATCGCTGAACGAAACTTGCACTATATATATAATATTGGATTTTTCCGGTTTGATCAACTTTAGGGGGTGCAAAGTTTTTTTTAGGATTTTCAGAAAATTAAAGGTGATAATCTTATTTACTTATGTTTGGTACGAGACTTTTAAAAAAAATTTGGAAATCTGATTTTTTCATAATTTTATTTTCTGTGTAATTTTTTTTAAAAGTATCATCCAAAAATACTATTCACGGAATGATATTCTAGGATTTCTATGACAAGAAAATTTTTAATACAATTAAATATAATATCAAGAAAATTAATCCAATATTTACAGAAATATGTTAGCCTACCAAACAATTTGTTGGTAACATTTTCGAAAAACTCATTTTTTAATCATATTCATAAAAATCGTAATTGACAGATAAAAAAAAAATCCCCTGCCAAACTTTAACCCCCTCAATCTCTGCTATCTTGTTCCATGTGGGAGAAAAACTACTTTGTTGCATAATTCTTAAAAGGAAATATTAAAAAAAAGTTCTATTTTTTCTTTTTTAATAAAAAAGAGCACCAAATTTTTTCTCCCATGTGGGATATAACTTATCAGCCTTGTAAGGTTTACAATTATCTAATTATCTCTGTATGCAACTATGCATCGTGGTTATCAAAAGTCAAACCAGTAATATTAATTCGGTTGGAATATTAAATCAATAAATTATCAATTTAATTAATAGGTTACTGATTTAACCATTTGAATTACATATATAATAATATATATAAATATAAAATTAAAAACATGTTATAATTTATATGTTTTAGGTTTGAATTCTAATACTAATACATTTCAAGCATTTTATCCAAAATTCTATAAAACTGGTTTAATTACAAATTGTGCTTATAAATCATAACTTCTAAAGTTATAACTTATAAGTTTACAGCAGAGAGAAGAAGTGATGGACCCCATCCGTGAAGGTAAAAAAAAAAAAAATACTGACACATAAAACAAATTATCTGTGATATGAGAAGTACTTCTTCAGCAACAACAGAAGAAGTCTTTTTTCCTTACAAAATCGATACCAATTTCACACAGATTGAACTCGGTTGAGGACTGATTGAGGACCCGATTTCAAATCATCAAGGCTGCGGGGTAAAAACAGACACATATAATCCTCCATAAAAAAATATTTTATACGTGAAATAACGTCATGCCTTACGTGTTATAGGATCTGATGGAAATTCAATAAAAAGATAGAGGGATAATGGATGTCTCATGTCTGTATATTATTATTATTTTGAAATAAGTCGTCTAACCTCTATCGGAGTTAACATTCCAAAATTCATTGTTTATTATTAATATTTATGTGCACATGCTGTGTCGGCGTATTATGAGATCTCTACAAAACGGCAGGCTGATTTTCGTACAATAATGCAAGAAATCTCCCCTATAAAATCTAGCGGGGTGAAAGACGAAGTGCAACCAAAGAAGGAAAGAGGAGTTAACAAAAATGGGTTCATTGAGAACAACCGAGAACAAGCCTCACGCAGTGTGCATCCCATACCCAGCACAAGGGCACGTAAACCCAATGCTCAAACTAGCAAAGATACTCCATTTCAAAGGTTTTCATATAACCTTTGTTAACTCAGAGTATAACCATAAACGCCTTCTCAAAGCCAGAGGTCCTGATTCCCTCAGTGGCCTTCCTTCATTCCGCTTTGAAACCATCCCTGACGGTCTTCCTGAGCCTGAAGTGGATGCCACACAAGACATACCTTCCTTGTGTGAGTCCACAAGAAGAACTTGCTTACCTCATTTTAAGAACCTCCTTTCCAAACTCAACAATGCCTCAGATGCCCCTCCAATTACTTGCATAATTTCTGACGGCGTTATGAGCTTCACTGTTGAGGCTGCAAAAGAATTGGGCATCCCAGAGGTCCTTTTCTGGACAACTAGTGCATGTGGGTTCATGTGTTACGTGCAATATCAACAACTCGTTGACAAGGGCTTAACACCCCTCAAAGGTGAAAAACAGTTTTAAGATGAAAATTTACTCTTTTACGTTAGATAAGTCTAAATTTATTTATATTTAAATATTTATATGGAAAGGAAAGAGTTAATATGAGTTTTTAATTAAGTAATTTATGTGTTTGACATGCAGACTCAAGTTATATCACAAATGGGTATTTGGATACTACCATTGATTGGGTGCCAGGAATCAAAGAAATTCGACTGAAGGATATACCCAGTTTCGTTAGAACCACAGACCCAGATGATTTGATGGTTGATTTCATATTGGGGGAATGCGGGAGAGCTAAGAAAGCTTCTGCAATCATTTTGAACACCTTTGATGCTTTAGAGCATGATGTTTTGGAGGCATTCTCATCCATTTTGCCTCCTGTCTATTCCATTGGTCCCTTGAATTTACTATTGAAGGATGTAGCTGATAAGGACTTGAACACAATTGGGTCAAACCTTTGGAAGGAGGACACAGAGTGTCTAGACTGGCTCGATAACAAAGAACCCAACTCTGTGGTTTATGTGAACTTTGGTAGCATCACAGTTATGACGAATGAACAACTGGTTGAGTTTGCTTGGGGACTTGCTAAAAGCAACAAAACCTTTTTGTGGGTTATAAGACCAGATCTTGTGGCAGGTGAAAACGCTGTTCTGCCTCCAGAATTCGTGACAGAGACAAAAAACAGAGGCCTATTGTCCCATTGGTGTCCACAAGAGCAAGTGCTGGCTCACCCGGCAATTGGAGGGTTCTTGACACATAGTGGTTGGAATTCAACATTGGAAAGTATTTGTGGAGGTGTTCCAATGATATGCTGGCCTTTCTTTGCGGAGCAACAAACCAATTGCCGATTCTGCTGCAACGAATGGGGGATTGGAATGGAGATAGAAGATGTTAAGAGGGACAAAATTGAGAGCCTTGTGAAGGAGTTGATGGATGGGGAAAAGGGTAGAGTGATGAAAGAGAAAGCTTTGGAATGGAAAACAAAGGCAAAAGATGCTGCTTCTGCCCCAGATGGATCTTCGTTTCTTAATTTGGACAACATGGTTCGTCAAGTTCTTTTGGACAAAAATTAGCTTTCCGAAAAGTTGAAATATTTGTGCGCACTCATTGTTAAAAGGTTCTATTATTTGATCTTTCAAAGGTGATGAATTGTCCAAGGCTCATCACGTGCTTTAATAAAGCGGAAAAGAATTAGAATTCTTTATGCTAATAGTGAGATATCAAATTGTGTGTAGTAATATATTTATTTATTTTTTATTTTTAATGAATGCAGAGTTCCGTCACATTTTGTATTTATAATAGGAGAAAGAATTCTTCTATAATATGAGAAAAAAAGGATCATTTAATAAAAGACATTTTATGAGGTATCATTATAGACGGACCGCGAATATTGTAGGTCGTAAATGTTATTGTATTTGCACGCTTATTAAACTGCAAACATAGAAATTTAAGATTTTGAAGTTTAACCTAGGTTAAATTACAGTTAAATTATCATATTAAGTGTATAAGTAAAATTAAAGAAAATATTAAATATATTTTTTGACATAATCAAATTACTTCATTATTGTTTGATCCTGACAAATTAGGTATGTCTGCTCGTAGGATGGTAAGTCACTATTGGATCTGTATACTCGTATGTATCTATAAGAGAGATACCACAAGGGTTTATGGATCATTGTGTATTGATGAGAAAATGACATAGCCAAAGTGTGGGATGTGTGCACAATGATAATCAATACAGAATGGGAAAAAAATGTTTACCTGATGGCTTTGACCCCTGTTTATAGAGGTTACCTGTTTAGGCTTGGATCCTAGTTGTTCTAGGATTGTTATGAGGTCTTCTCTTGTTGTTATGATAAAATTCCTATCCACTTATCTGCTATTAGTTACACTGCTTATCTGTTACACATTGTTAGGATACAGGCCTATTATTTAGTTCTATAACAGTTTCCCCCCCAGCTCTGTAGTTCGACCGTTCAGACTGCAGAGGTGCAAAGGTTCATGACAAACTCCAGTTTGGTCGAGCTTGTTTCTATGCTCCGAGTGTGTAACCTGATTAGTCCTTGGAACGACTTACTAAAAGGCCATTGTATTGTTCATCTTACCTACAACTCGAACATGGTGCTTAGGTCGGGGCTTGAGGTCAGTCATATAATCTAGACCATTCTTCGGGCGAGCTGCGACGTGTTAAGTTTTGCTCCTTCATCTATCGAGTTTTGCCTAACCCGCGAGGTTTGGTTACAAGGTTCGTCTTTGGGTAGGTCATCATTTGAGCTGACGCTCTACCTTCCATTAGAAATTTCGGCCCCTTCATTCTTCCATGTGTCACGCTTTCATTTGCCTGAAGCTCTTTGCGAAGCATGCGCCGTCCTTGAGCTTTGTGCATAATGATGTGCCCCAGGATTGTCTACGATGCAGATGTCTTGCCTTTAGACAAAATATCTCATTTGCCCCCGTCTATTCATTTTTGCATCCATTTCATACCTCTTTGTGTGTTTTCTTCACACTTTCTCTTACCCACACGCTTCCTTCATCTTTACAATTGCTATTATCCTTTGAAGCTCCTGTTGTTTTACATTGAGGCTTATAGGAGAGCTCTGATTTTTGTTTCCGCAAGCATTTCTCGCATTTTCATTTTGTCATCTAATCAGGTACCCCAAACACCTTACCTCTTACTTACTATTTGATGTTTCTATGGGTGTTTTCTCCCCTTGGTTTTCTTTTTGTTTCTCCAAATTATGATGACCTCATTCAATGACCCCACCATCTAAAGAGCCTGATGTTTAGTAGAGACCAGCATGTCCCAATCATGTATAGTAGGTCGGTCAATGATTAAGTTGTATGATGAAATGAAGTCTGCCACAATGAAACGTACTCGTCCATACGAGAATGCTTCCTTAGTCCCTAACATGAATTTTAAATCAATATAGCCCTTGGGAGGAGATCGCTCTCCATTGAATCCAACCACCTTGGTCTTATAAGGCTTTAGGTCTTGCTCATTAATATTCATTCTCTTAAATGCGCTCCACAGCAGTATGTCAGCTGAGCTTCCCGGGTTTACAAATATTATGCAGACCCAACAGTTTACCAAGACCCTAGTGATCATGAGCCTGTCCACATGACCTGGGATCACTTCCTCCAAGTCTTTCTTTGTAAAAAAAACAATTTGGGGGGAGGGGGTCAGGCTTATCCCCACCCACTATGAACATTGGCCTATCTCTTATAGATAAGACTTTCCTCTTATATATTTTCCTAGCACTGACAGTATCTCCACCACCTCCTAGTGCTCCACTTATTACATTGCAGTCAAATTTGGGCTCTTGAAAGTCATCATCATTAGTCTGGCTTTCTGTCCTTTAGACTTTGTTTCCTTAGGTCGTCCTTTTTTCTCGAGTCCTTCTTAGGGCTGGCACCTATAATGCGGCTCCGTTATCTATGCTTGTCATTCTTCTTTCTTTGAGTGCGCATCAAGTACTGTCTCAATTTCCTTTCCCTGATGTGTTTCTCTATGGCATCCTCGAGGTCCCACCATTCATCAGTGGTATGGCCAATACCGTCATGAAAAACACAATATGTTGAACGGTCTAGCCCGTCCTTATTCTTGATGGTCCTCGACCTTTCCACACTTCAAAGCTCGATTTGGTCGACTTTTCTCCAGATTTAGGATCTCAATACGTTGAGAGGAGTATAATTATCAAACTTGCTCCTCCAGAAGCGATCTCCAAGGACCATGGAGCGAGAGTCGGCCCTCTTCCTTAAACTCTCCCGATCCTTATCTTTATTTCTCTTGTTAGGGCCCTGAAGTTGAGGACTTCGCCCCCTGACTTCTTCTTTGGCAATTGTATGGCTAACTCCATCTCCTCCACATCTGGATGTTTGTTAGACCTTATTATGAACTCTTCCAAGTCATTGATCGAGTTCTTGTATATTGACTTGTCTAAGGATGGTTCTCCGTCCAGTCCGTCAATAATCAAATGCAAATTGACGCTCTCAGATAAGTTTTGTACCTTAAGTGCAGCCTCCTTAAACCGATCAATATATTTGTATAGTGATTCTCCTTTTTGCTGACTGATTGTGCCTAAAGCATATGTAAGCATAGGATTGGCTTTGTTGGTAGCAAAGTTGAGCAGAAAAATCTATGCAAATTCCTTGAAGGAGTCAATCGAATTTTGTTGCGACTTCGGCAAGTGCACTGGTCGTACAAGTAATCAAGTGATAAATAATGGGGTTGTCGTTTCCACGAGGATTGTTGTATTAAACACTAACTCATCCACGCGACCAAAGTTGGATCGATCGATAAAAAAATTCTTGATAATATGATTTTAAATTAATAAAAATAAAATTTTAAAACATATTTTTAATTTTCAAAATTAAGAACAAAGTACAATAATCAAGAACTAAAAACACAAATAAGAACAATTGAAATCAATTAAAGACAAGTGTAGCTAGGGATTCGATTTACCCTATATTTTCCTAACAATTCTACCCTTTCATGCAATCAATATTCATGCACACGTTATTGAAGATTCTTTCTTGATTAACTAAACCCCAAATCCCTTGGTGATTTAATCCTTTACTTTATTCAAAACCCTAGTCCCTTAGTAGTTTTTCCTAAAGCAAACATTAAGAGCAAGAATCATAAAGTCATAGAATTTGTAAGCTTATGCCTAGATCATACAAACCCTAGCAATTGATTAATCAGAATCAAGAATGCAATATTTCTATTGTCATGCAAAATTCATATGTTCATCTATGAACGATCAATTCATAAACAAAGCTAGTGGCAGGGAAATAGATTAATTGTATAACAAAATACATGAATATTAATTACAAGAAAGATTAAAGAAAAATATTACTCTCATTTTATATGAGATAATTATCTCATGTTATCTCACTTCAAAAATCTCACCCACTCTTTTTATTTTTTATCCTTTAATGGTGGGCCTAACGTGGCTTCTCTTTGTAACATAAGAGAACTACTCTCATGTAAAATGAGAATAGCATTCCCTAAAATTAAAACAATGTTAGAAATCTATAGGTTCCATTTCACCCTAACTACATAAAGAAACCTAATCTAACATGTTCATAAAACTAAGAAAACAAGAAAAAATCTAACGGAAAACATAAAGGAAACATAAAACCCATATCTGCGGTGAAACTTTGGTTGTTCCTCCACTCCACAGGTCCGGAACGAAGCTTTTCCCTCTCCTAAGCTGCAACCATCATGAGCTCTGCCATCCAAAAGTCGTCCCAGAACAAATGAAAAGAACCCTAGATATCCCTTTTTAATGATAATATGAGTGAGCTTTCAATTGGGTCATTGCTCGTTAAGTTGTTCGTTTTGGTGAGTTTCTCAGCGAGCAAATACGACATCCTCGCTGGTCTGCTCGCTTAAGTGAGCATGCCAGAGTGTTGACTATCGCGTGTTCACGATCGCAGAATGAGAATTGAAAGTTAACGACTTCCCACATATCGTGCCAATGTTCGATCCTGGAGGATCGGGTATGTCCTCTCGAAGGTTGGTAAGCCACTATTGGATCTGTATACTCCTGGGTATCTATGAGAAAGATACTATAGGAGTTTGCGAATCATTATGTACTAATGAGAAAACGGCATAGCCAGAGTATGATGTGTGCATAGTGATAGTCGATATTGAATGAGCAAAAGTTGTGTACGTGATAGCTTTGACCTCCATTTATAGTGGTTACTTGGTTAGACTTATATCCTAGTTGTTCCACGATTGTTATAAGGTCTTATCATGTTGTTAGGATAGATTCCTATCCTCTTATCTGTTGTTAGTTACAATGCTTATATGTTACACACTGTTCGGATATAAGCTTATTATTTAAGTCCATAACAATATATATATATATATATATATATATATATATATATATATATATATATATATATATATATAATTAAAAGTATCATATTCTAAGTATGTTTGATATTTTAATTCACAATAATTTTATATTTAACGAGTGAAAGAGAGATAAAATTAATAATTTTTTATTGTTTTTATATTAAATAAGTTTTAGAAGAATACGTAATTTTTTTATTATAAATAAAAAGCTAAATACTTATTATACTACACGTTTTTATTTATTTTATATTAAATTAAGTAAAAATAGAAAAAAAATACCTT